AATGACCGTAAATCAAGTTCGTAATATGAACCGTATTGCAGTCATATATCACCGTTTCTTTTACAGCAGAGATGGACGAGTCAGCAAAAAAGTCGCACCGTCACCGCCCCATTGATAAAGTCCCGCACCGCCACTGCCCCGCCTATTCAGCATTGAAACCGTTATCCTCCCGTCATGCCCAAAATATGTTTTCAAAAACTATTTCTCAACAAATTTTTCATTAAATTTTTATAATGACTATTTCATTTCATGAGATGAAAAGGCATATTTTAAATGCATAAACATCATTTCGAAATAGAAAAAAAATAAACATATATGAAAATGAAAAGCAATTATAATACAACCACTCATTTTGTGGAACTCACGTACATCTTCGAAGAAAATAGTGATTGTAAGTTTTAAGTTCGAGGTTTCGCGACTCTCCCCCTCCCCCTCCCCACCCCATTACAGACACATAGCAACCGGAAAGAGAACATTACAGACATACTCCTCATTACAGACACCCCACCCAGGGTTGCCAGATCTTCCGATACGTCAGGAAAAATTCCGATTTTTGAAACTTTTTCCGACGACTTTCCGACGTCCCGATTTTTTCAGATTTTAACATATTTTTCCGATCGCCTTCAGATTTCCTAATTTTTCTCCGGTTTTCGGAGTCTTGTTTGTGAATTCAAATTCTTAGAATATTCCAGAATAATTTAACCATGACGAGGTACTACACATATATTGCGATCTATTTCACCATAATTATCGGGCAGTGCAGCGTTATGAACTCAACAAACCACACTTCAGTGATCTGAAAGCATATCCTTCAATAAAATGATGATGTTTTACAGACAATAAAGATCCAATTTTCTATCACGATGAATTAACTTTCTCTGTTCGTTTACTATACTAATAATTAAGAATATTCTCGTTTTTGAGCTTTTTTTTGTTTCATCGCAGATATAAGAAAACTAATCATAATCGTATGGGTACTAAATTAGCTATTGCACAATTGAAAATCGGAATGAGTTCTGTTTATCGTTGTGGACATTTTTATAAATATCTGTTACCTAAACCTGATATTTTGAAGAATATTCGAGCTAGTAAAAAAGTATGAACAAAAACGAACGTTATACAGAATAAGTCTTAGTTTCTTTTGCACACGTTTTATGAAATGCATGTGTGTGTATGAATTTACAATGCTGATTCTATTGTTTCGTCAAGTTGGTCATAGCATTGTTGAAAAAAATAATGTGAACCTGTTCAAATGACTTATGTAGATTTCTTAATCATGAGTAAATTATGTAATCGATATTTTCCTTAATACTTTATGAAATATCATTTCCGATATTGATTCGAAAAGATGAACAGAAGCAAGATAAAGGATATTGAAGCTATTGAAAATATATAGACTAGTTACTTAAGCATTGGAAAATACTTTCTGATTTTTTTCCGATTTCGAGAACAAAAATTCCGACTTTTTTCCGATTTTAAGAAAAATTTTTCTGATTTTTTAATTTTCGATCCGGCAATCCTGATCCTACCATTACAGACCTCAGCAACAGCGCATAAAAGAGCTCTAGTTTTTATATAATATATCAATGATTTCATACGTATTCAAAACTCAGTACATGGGTACCCTGAACTCAGTACTTTCTCTAGGGGAAGTGAAAAAAAACATGGAACAAATATAGTTAGACATCGATTTTCGACAGAATGAATGGAAAAAATTAGATAATTTGAGACAGTAACCTTGTCCTAAGAATTACGGTAAGTTTTCTCGGAGTAATTGTTTTTCCATAGTCGATACGAAGTATTTACAAGGTGTCCCAAAAGTTCTTACGCACGAATGTTTTTTTCGTATGATAGCTGACTCTATCAAGATTTTATTTCTATAGCTAACTTATGAAAATGTTCTTTAAAGTAATTGCCATCAGTCAAGGGTGTGGTTGTGGTCATTGTTGAAGAGAATATTAACACTTACATCCCACACCCCACCCTTGTTCAGTTTTCTTTTCCCTTTCAAATGAGACATTGCGCAAAAAAATCTATTGTAAAATGGTGGAGAAAGAAGTGAAATACGACCTGCCGAGTTTTTAGAAAAATTAAAAAAAGCTCATTTTTTTAAAAATCTCATATCTCGACCAGAAAGCATTTGTTTGGTCTAAAATTCTGGATAAATAGGTATCTCAATATCGACTATCGAATGGGCATAGTCAAACATGAATTTTGAAATTTGACCATGTAATGGTTCTATAGAAAAATTCTCAATGGATTCATAGACTTTCTCTTAAGATTTGTTAACATTGTTTTATATTCTAATTTATTTAAATATTAATGGTATCACTAAATCTAGCCATTGTCGTTCCCTTTTGTTATCGATCTCACTCAGGCTTTTGTCTTACTCCTGTGCGGACGAAGTTTCCTCAACATATTTGGAGACATTAAATTTAAGTACAAATACTTTCTTTCATTATAGCAATGGAAGATAGGTAAATGAGAAATTGTTCATTAAACTTGATTTGTTGTGAAAGACGAAATAAACTCAATATTCTAGTCTTCAATCATTAGTGTTACAGCAGAAAGATAAAGCTAGAGAGGCAGCAATGTCTTCCTAGATATTGGTAGCGTAGACACAAGCAGCTAACTAACTAATGTCGAATTTTTTTAAAATTACCCGCCGTCGTTTTTTGAATAAGTCTTCACCATTGATAGCTGTCGGGTTCGAGTTTTAGCCATTCAATAGAGCGGCGCGAAGAACATGTACTGTATCCGTGATAAAATTTCCAGCTCTTTCTGTCATTGTTTCGAATACGATAATTCGTTAAAATCCTTAGATTTTGACGCAAATTCAGGCTTCTTTGAGCTACATTTTGGTGTAATTTAAGTCTAGGTCTTTACGACAACTAATGAAAATTGGTAACGAAGAACATATTAATTAAATATTTACTATAAAAAACTTCTATGGTCCTAATGAATCTCATATAGATAGACCCCTCCCCGCAGTGCTCTATCGAACGGCTGAATTCCGAACTCAATAGCTGTAAATGGTGAGGAGTTATTCAAAAAAATGCTGGCTGGTAGTTTAAAAAAATTCGACAATAGTGTAGATGTGACTGATGAGAACTGCATATGCTATGAATTCGACAAAAGAAACGTCTTTTTACCCGCTGACAATATACCATATTTAAAGAAGAAGAAGAAATAGACAGACACATAACAAATGTCGAAAGATAATCAAACTTCTGTTGCCTTACTCGTTCTATCCATTTTCGTTTATTTCTTAAGGTTATCATAAATTAATGCTTATGGATAGACGACCGCATAGGAACTTATACGTATTGATCTTTTTTGAGAAAATTTTAGACTAGATAGTTATATCGAAATTAATTATTAAAAAATCCGCTTTGTATATGGACGGGGAAAGAAAAATAAAATCTCCATTATTTATCAATTTTCGATGAAATTTCATGATTGAACTTGAACGACAGTGATTACGGTGATCTCTTGTCACACCTTTAGTAAATAGAATTTTGTTATAATATCGAATGAGTAACGGCATCTATTTGAATTGATCTGTAAAAGTAGATAATAAACAATAAAATATAATGGATGAATATAAGCCACTGGAATTGTTTTCTCTGTTCTGTTAGAGGAAAAAAAACAAATGCAAGCAATAAAAGCGTACAATTGCCATTTTTCAGTCTATAACTGTAGTTAATAATGTCATCAGCTCCAAAAGAACTCAAACGACATGGTCCAACTAAAGGAATGTCATTTACACGTCAACAGGCTGAAATACTTTTCAAACGTTATTTAAACAAAAAACTTAGTTGGTTCGAATCTATTGATGAAGGTTTAAATAATCTTCTTTTCTTTATTGAATGTGAAAATGATCAAGAAAAATATGTTTTAAAAATTTGTGGCAATGCTTGGGAAAATATTAAAACAGAATCAGAAGTTATTGCAATGACACTCGTTACTAAATATACAAATATTCCAATTCCGAAAGTTCTTGCATATTCATCAACTAAAGATAATGAATTTGGAGTCGAATGGATTATTATGACACGTACACAAGGAAAACCACTTAGGACTTCTTCAGACGAAGATGATATTTGGTCAAAATTATCTATTGAAGAAAAAAAATCAATCATTAATAAACTTGTTGAATATGTAACTGAATTACATTGTCGTATACCTTCTTCAAACAAAATTGGAAATTATCGACTTGATGGTCAAATTGTTCATGATAATGAACGGATGGGTCCTTGGAAAAATTATAGAGAATATTTTTATGATCATTTAAAACAAAAAATCGATACTTTAAATAAAGAAAAATTATTTGATCTAATTCGTGAAGATGTTATGAAATCAGTTGAAGAATTTCAAACATTTCAACTTCCTTCATTTGATGATCTTCCAAATGTATTTACACATAATGATCTTGGACTTCAAAATTTAACTGTAACTGATAATCATGAAATAAAAGGAATTATTGATTGGGAATGGGCTGGATCTTATCCTATTTGTGAAGAATATTTTCGTTCATATAAACCAATTGTATACGATCAACAATTAACAAATTATCTTTATGATCAACTTGAACAACATAATATTCCAACTCCAAGAACAATACCTCGTTTTTCACTTCTACAAAAACTCTATGATTTACTTCAAGCAATTGTTCCATGGTATCTTACTAATTTAGATAATCCTGAACATCCAATTGTCGAAAAAGAATTATTTAAACATAGAGATAAAGTTAAAAAACTTGTTCAACAAATTAGAGAAGAATTAAAATAAGTCTTTTTCTTTTCAATTAATTAAAAATATAATAATAATTCAGCAAAACAATTCCCCTTTCATTAACCTTTCTTTTTTTTACATGCTAATATCCGTCTCAATACATCAAGGACACAAAAAAACATATACGTATCGCTTAGGGTCATTCAGTGCGAAGTTAAATGGAGAAAAAAAAGAACATTTGTGGCACACTAATTAGATTTCTTCTTATTCTACGATAGACAAAATCACATATCGTACAAACGTAATGGGATATATGTCAGTCCTTATTTCTCTTCGATAGACGAATACTCGAAGAAAATTTTTTTTTGTTCTCTTTCGACAACAAGAAAGAAAAGCATTCGTAAAATGAGTTCACATTTTTCATAATTTTCAAAAAAAAATGGCACAAAATGTCAATCCTTATATTACTTCGATAAATATGTTCCAAAGCGAATATTTTTTTATTAGTTGATAAGAAATTTTCTTCCGTTTTGATTTATCTATGATTTATATTTGTCATATATTCGTAAATAAAATGAGATCAAATAAAAATCGAAATGCTTGCACAACAAATTTCCGATTTTTCTATAGATTCATCAAAATGATTTTCTAAAAGTACAGATAATTATAATTAAATGTCGTCTTACAACATATTTTTGATGAATCTAGATGAAAAATGCAAATATTTCTCTTTTTTTCTCTCACCGTATTTTATCTACGAATGTTAGAGAAGTAAAATAATATATTGTTCGAAAGAGAAGCGAATTTCCTATCAATTTATAGAAAAAGATATTCCTTAGAGAACGTATTTATCGAAGAAACATAAGAATCGACATATTGTCCTATTAGTTTTGCATCGTATATTATATAGAAGCAGTGGCACAGTCTACGACCGATTTTGTCATTTATTTCTTTATTTCTTTATAGAAGAGAAAACGGGAAACAAAGATGGATGAGGAATGATTATGTACGAACACATTTGTTTATATGTAGATGTTGACAAAAGAGAAAGAAATGAACGAAATCATCATAGAGGAATATCAAAGAGCAATCGACCCTTATCCTTAATACGAAGAAATATTTTATTCAACAAATCTTAAAATATATTTTTGGAAAAGATAGATTTATCGTATAGTTGCTCCAAGCAAAAACTATAACGAAGTATCTGACATTAGAGAGTTTCTTAACACTATAAAATATTACGGTTTTAGTTCATAATGTTTTCACAATACTGATATTCTTCTCTCGCATAGATTCCCTTGACAGAGCAGTTAGAAAAATCTCGCATTGATATAGCAGAAAAAAGCTGTGAGACAGGAAATATCATGATCAATATAAATATATTGAAAAACAATTCCAGAAAATAAACTTTTTGTAGAAACGAAAGAGAATTTTGAGATTTATTAGACGACCGGTCTTTTTCTCTGCATGTGTCATTTTTTTTAAAAAATGTCCTTTAGTTTTCATCTAATATGAAATCAAATTTTATCTTTTTATCAACAACTTGTCATTGTACAATACAAATATCATTATTCACTTATCTACCAGCGTTTAGTTATTTTAAAATTAAAGAAGAAAAACTTTTAAAAATTTGAAATTCAATTCATAAATTTGAATTTTGTGTTAGAGGCTTGAATGTCGTTTTTTTTTTAAAATGTTCGCCTTTCGATGCTGAATCCGAATATAATATTCGAAAGTTTCTTCTAACATTCAGTTTTTTCGGAAACTTATTTTTTTTTATCATCTATAGCTAAAAAAAGCTACCGTTTTTCAGAAACTCTACTTCTAAGGGTTTTGGAGAAAACTTTCTAGAGACAAAAAGAAAGAGTACGTCAAGAAATCCTTAAGAACCAAAGGACAACTTGATACGTTCAACCATTTTCAAGATAGTACTCTCATGTGACATGCCTGTTTGATATTATTTATTATTCTTAGAAAAAAAAAGACCGTACAATATTTTATTGATATTCTATTATAAGATATATTTATTAAAACAAAATGGTTATAATACTACTAATATAGACAGAAAAATAAAGTTAATTCAAAGAATAAGTTTTATTTTCTTCTTTGATTCTATGATCTTTATTTGGTTGAATAAGGCCATGTTCCAAACAGGGTTGAGTGATATCTAAATAAATTTTACAATTCTAAAATAAAAAATATGATTAAATTAAATTCAAAAGACTTTTACACAACTAAAAATATGCTATTGGTAAGATTATGATTAAATCTTTATTAAATCTCTGATTTTGACATACTTATTCATTAATTTCATTTCGACAATATGTATTATAAGCTCTTTATTAATTTTAATTATATTACGAATTATATAAAAAGTTCGACATTGTAAATCAACATTATTACAAATATATAATTGTTTAAAAAATTCTATCGATGATTTCACCTACAAATAATAAAATTATTCTTAAAAAAATAAATCACTTCCATAAAAATACAAACATCAAGTTTTGTTTTTTGCACATATAATTCGATTTTCTTCAATTAAATCATTTAATCGATTACGTTCTTCAGCTTCTAAATTTAAATCTTTTATATATTCAAGATCAATTTGTAATGATGATAAAACAGCTAATGTTTCTAAAAACTAACTTTATTAATAATTCATCTTCTTCACCATATAATAATATTAATTATATATATGTAAGTGAATTGCACTGGTATTGTACAATTTCACGTAAAAAATCGAAAAAAATAAAAGTAAATATCAAGTAAACTTGACTCGTACATTCGATACAGCTCTATGGGTTATAAATAAATAAAGTATTTTCTCGACTGTCAGTTTTTTCGTTTCGGAAAAAAACGATTTGTATTAAAAAATACATACTTTTCAAGATTTCTTGACACAATAAAATAAATAATTATAGAAATATTTGACAAAATAAAATCTCTAAAGAGTATTTATATATTGTTATCGCATATCAATCGAAAGCTTTTAAAAAGAAGATCTAATAAGCATATACAAAATCTTATCCGCACATATACATGCATACTCTAAGGACAAGAGAATGTGGGTGCGTGTGGATGAAGAGAAGACGCACACCAACACCCACACCCACGTCAACGTTTGGAGTCTTGTTCAGTTGGGATTTCTTAAAAATCATCTTGAGGGATGCAGATATTGGTCTTTTATTCGAAAAAAGAGATAAATGGCGTATCTAAGAGAGTGCAATCTAGTCACTAAAGAAAATTGCGTTGAATAAAAATTAACATTCTGAAAAAAAATCACAAGAAAAAGAAATTGTTATTCGTATTTCGAAATAATCAATTCTCAGAATTGAAGTGCATCATGTGAAGCCAATAGAAATATTATATAAAACAGGCACGGTTTTGTTTTATTTTTTTTTTATTATAAATAAAAGAATGATAATTTTATTCATAAGAGAAAAAAAGTCCAAAAAAATTCTTGCCCTATTGACCATAAACAGTATGATACCTTCGGCTGATATTATTATTGTTATTGGAATTCATATTTGAGTATATATGGACGGACTTAAATATGTTTTTCTTTTTGTTTTTGATCACCGGCTATAGAACTGATATAAAGTATTTTATGTTTTATTGTATGAGAAAATACTTATTTTTCTTCAAATACAGAAATCACCATCTTATTCAAATGATTTATTGTTACTTTTTTAAGGTTTTCAATATTTTCTGAATAACATCATTTCCAACTCATGAAATTCAATTATATAATAAAAAAAAAAGAAATATGTTTTTTGTGTACTAGCTAATATCTACAAAAAAAAAAGATTGAGACAAATATGATATATACGTATTGTATACAGAATACGAATAATTACTTCCACTGTATATATTATTTCAATTCTGTTATGTTTTATTCTTAGAAAAAAAAAGACTATGTAAGATATGTCAGAATACAATCAGATAAGAACTGCAATAAGCCAATATATGTAAGTGGAAAAGAATAAAAAATTCATTAATTTATATTTAGTTTGTTGAAGCATTATTTCGAGTATGTTTTGCCTTCTATGCTACTAGTATATATAAGGTATCCAAGAAACTTATTAACATGTAAATTAGATTTTGATAAGAAGAGAAAGTAAGAAATATAAACATTATTCATTCAATTATATTTCTTACACACAACTGACTGCATGAAAAGATATCCATCTGTCAAAATATCATTTGTTCAAAGGCCACCTTCAATTCGATGGACATCAAAGGTAATTATATCCACAAATAAAATTGAAGTAGTCTCTTGATCAGTCTCTCTATCAGGTGACACCGACAAATGATAAACAACGGAAGCCAAAATATATAAAACAATCGACTTTACATGATCAGACGCAATCATCATCTATTCAAGACTCCCAATCCCACCAGTTGGGCCTATCGTATGCTTTAAGATATCATCGAAGCCCAGCTGGATCTTCCAAGATCCCTTCAGAAACCGGAATAATCCGTAAGTATCCTGTCAAATTATGGTCTGAATTCGATTGACGGAGTCACATTCGGATCCGTAGTAATGAAATCTGATCCTATAGATTTTGGTTAGAAATCAATAAATTCCGATTGAGAATCTGTAGTTTTCGAATGAATTCAAAAACTTCGTCTGTGAAATTGCTCAACTTTACTTTTTATCTGAGTGTTCTTTAGAAATAGTTTTCATTGCACGAAAAATCAATTCGAAAATTTCAAAAATAAAGGTATATGTATACAGGGTGATCCAAAAGTTACTAGGCAGTCAGTCTTTGATTTTGAATAACTTTTGATAGAAATAAGATGGAGAGCTGTGGCTTTCACCGTTCGAAAGAGAGTATGTTATTACATAGTTTCATGTATTACTCAGTGATCGTATCTGATGATCAGATGGTGAGTCTTCGGAAAAACAGTAATAGCTCTATAAAGATGGCATAAAAGTTCAATTCTAAGAAGTACACTAGATCCGTGTACTTACGATTCACGCCCATGCTCATATTCGAAACTTTTATCTTGTTTTATTCAAAAGTCATAGAGGCGATACTAGGCAATGAGGT